TTATAAATACTTACACCCTGGTAGTTAACACGCGAGTGAAAGAACAGAGAAATAATATTTTAATGTCAAATTCTATTGATAATAAAATGCGTGAATCGTTTTATAAATACTTACCAACTGGTAGTTTAACGCGGAGTAGAAAAAGAATATTTAATATCAAATTCTATTGATAATAAAATGCGTGCATCGTTTTATATATACTTACGAACTGGTAGTTTAACACGTGTGTGAAATAACAGATGAATAATATTTTAATAAAAAAATAATTTATTATGATGAAATTTATACTTACAACTGGTAGTTTAACATTTAGGTGAGATAAAATTCAATGAAAGAATTTTTGCTAAATGAATTCTATACTTACCAAGCAAGAAGTACGACAACTAACAATATTCCAAATAATATAAGAAATACTAAATTAATTGGTTCAAAAGCTTGTCTACTAATGATAATGATCCAAAACACTGGAATAATTATCACTGGAAACAATATTAAAAATAGAACAATGATCCGATATAATCCTTTAGTATTTCCACATTCATCGTCACATAATTTTCTGTGCTTAATTATTGCAGGAACAGCGCAAAATACGTGTAATAACATGTTTATAATTGAAAATATCTTTATATCTAACGTGTCTTCATAAGTAAAGGAAACTATTAGTGGAATCGCCCAAGTAACCATGCTATATAATATGTCGTCTAATAATGGCAATAAATAATTTTTAATAGATCTCTCTTTATTTCTAACATTAAGTAGAATGACAAAAGTGATTGGAAACAATGTATTAAGGAGACCATCATATAAATCTTGCTTAGACGAATAAGATTCATCTATAATAGATGTCATTGCAAGTTGAAAAAATGAAATGAAAATAATTTTCCAAAAAATAAAGTTCATGTGAAGACTATTCATGGCCAATATTTAGTTTTTAAATATATAAATTTATGTCTTTGCAGATAATTTACTAGTACAGAAAAATTATATACGTACGTACTGTACATACGGTGCGGAAAAATTGAAAATCTCAATCACTTTATATATCTGATACATGTAGGAGATAATCTAAATTTGGAATTCTCAAATAACGGCTTATTTATGTTTCAGCAGTATCAAATGAATAATTGCTACCGTATTGCGGCGTACACTTATTTGTGCAAGTGATACAAATCCAAAAAAGGAAATTTTTATATGTAGATCGCAAGATCAGGTGCAATCCTTGTGTAACGTGAA